CAAAATCCGCCGGCTAATAAGCTCAGTCGCCGGCTACAAAGCCCAATTTGCCAACAAGATAGAGTGCGCAACTGGTTACAGTACGTGTGTACTGTATAGTGCCTATCCTGCGTTTGCTTATCAAGAACTAGGACACTCCGATTAGTGAGCCCGCCGCTTATTAGGCCGAATGTGGTCTGGGCCCGAGGTGGGCTTAATAACCGGCGACTAGTGTACCATTGGAAACACATTCTATATGAGGCTACCCCAAATTTCGCTCAAACTAATGCACATTAAGCTTAATAAACTTAACTACAAGGGCGATTTTTTTAACTGAAATGTTTTGTCAGGATGTAATCCACTTAGTTGATTCAAATAACATGGGCAAATATACGTTTAGCTACCAAGTAGAATTTTCTCGTGACCTTTGTCCGATTTCGTAGATATACTGTACGCTGCTGGCAGCCCTAAATCCTCTAAAGACAGGAAGCGTAGTTACCATTGATAAAAAAATTGACAAACTTTGCAAAATTAATCGCGTTAAAGAATTCAGACGGGCAATTGGCGTACATACGTGCGATTTCGATTAATTCTCACTGGGTCGGTGCATTTATAAGGAACGGGATGCAAGTTAAGCATGCGGTCAATCATATTGGTCTTATCATGCCAGTGAGTCGTGGGATTACGGGGTGGCAGAGGCCGATATGAGGAATTCCGTCAAGAGGCGGCTAGAAGCCGGTCTAGGGGAGAGGGGGACGAGAGGAATAGAAAGCTCACAAGAGTGCATGCAAGTAGGTGACCGTTGGCTGTGCCAGACGTGGTGATTGCACCAAAGACTGGCTTTCTAAATCTGATAACGCTGGCCTCTACTATTACTAGCAGGCACCGAGACAGGCACTCTGGGCAGTTATTAATCATCCGAAAGCCTTTATGTGGGACAAATAGATGGCGTTGCCCTGTGCTCGCCGCTTAGACCTCATCGGTAACCTAGAGAAATGTCAACCCACCGACCAGATAAGTAAGTTCAAACACTATGGTCGCTAAATTGATGACATCGCTGCAAGGACATCCTACCAATAAGTTCATATTGAAGGTGGAAGCTGCATGCTTGCTTCCTTTATTGTACGTCTTTCTACGTCGAAGACCTGTCGATAACGTTCAAAGGAACATTTATCAAAATAAAACCTGGTCTAAAAAATAAAAGAACTTTAGGAGTTGCCTAACCATCCGGCAGAAACGCAATCTAGCCCGCTACTAAGTGTAAAGGGATATAAATATGAGATCGACAAACAGTACTGAGGAAGAAAAAAAAAATTCCAGGACATGCTTTGCGAGGGATATATTACTAAGAACGTGGTGACAAAACAATTCAAAACCCACCACACTTGTCGTACAAAAGAGAACGCTATTCTTCGAAGTTAGCCTCGAAGATGCAGCGAGGGAACTCCTTAGAAGACGCCTTGACCAAGCCGCGATTTTAACCATCCCAGCAGCTCGAGTTTGGGTATAATTATTAATTAATCCGGTCTTGCACTTTAAAGGTGAGGCTAGACTGTCAGCTCAGACCACCTCCATATGCATCTGCTCACTCTCTTGCTACTGTAGAACGGGTTACATCGGCAGCATGAACCGGCCCTAATCCAGAAGAATAAAGCAACACCCCTGACTTGGCTGATAGAAGGTGAAGTCGGAAGCCTAAACAGCCCTATTCTGAAGCACATTGTTGATTTCAGACATTGTGTGGCGCCAAAGAAGTTGGGCGGGTGAGTTATAAGACCCGACCAAACTATCCCATTTCCCTGGGTCAGCGCCTGTTAGCAGCAGCAGAAGCGACCGCTATCAGGTTGAGGAAGCCGGAATTGTGTGCACAAAAGAGCCTCCCGGAGGAAACTCTCTTGGCAGTAGCACTAATTTGCATGTATTCTTCCGAACCCCCTATTTCTCCCTTTACCCCCTTCTTTTCATCCTCCTGGACCGAATCCACCAAAGCCTTCCTACCGCGCGAACCTCAGTTTCTCATCAATCCATACAAACTTCTATTCCCAGGAGTCAGGATAGAGATTATTGACTGCCTGTTTTAGCTTGTATCCCTATCTCGATTAAGGATGCGAATTTATCGAAATCTTATGTATGATCGCCAACAGCTATCTTGAATTTAGCAAAACGTCACTTGCTCTCATAGAAGTTGGGGGATGCAGCAAAGGCCTATAACTTATTCCACAGCACGCAACTATTGATGATACAACTTATTTATGAGGTGTCTTCAGAGAAATCTGATTGTTTTAATAATATAATGAAGTTAGACAAGTGACGTTATAGCCCATGATAGAACGGTTGGTCTACCTAATTAGCTGCGACAGCTCGGCGTCCAGCAAGTGTTTTCGTCTTCATCTTTTTGCTCTTGATGTAAATATGCTTTGGAATTTACTTCAGATATCTAATTCGGTTTTCACTTCAGGAGTAGCCCTAAATCAATCAAGTTGCATTATTGACTTTTTGGCAAAAAGGGCATTAAAAACAAAGACATCAACAACTCGTTTCGTTAGAACGCTTTAATGCCGTTTATCCAGAAAACCGTTTTCCGGATAGGCATCAAGTGATTTTCTTCCTCATTGTAAAGCAGAATATTTTTGGCCTTTTCTTCCTTCCGTACAACTCATCTTACTCCAGAAAAACCATTCGATTCAGTTCGTGCAAGTTGACAGTGTTGACATTTTTGCCTACAAATTTATTTTTTTTCGCCAGCAGAAAATGTTGCACAGTGTCATGGAAAGATGTAATTGAAAACTTGTTGCATTTTTTGCCTTCAGTCTTTCATAAAGAGAGCTTTAATTTACAGTAGGGTAAAAGCTAACTGTAGCGCACTTGGCAGTTCATCATTCCAACCATTTTACATTCGTTGTGACCTGGTCAAATAATTATAGTTCTTGACTTCAAGAGTCTCCACGAGCTCTGTTTGCAACAATGCACGTTTAGGTCCTTGTTGTTTAGAGGAGTTAACACATAATTGGTCACATGTGTCAACCTTTGGTGCCAGAGCTTTAGGTGAATAATAACCAATCAGAAAGCAGCGCATATTTTTTCCAGTGCAGGACTAATTCCATAAAATGGAGAAGGCCTTTAGCTGCATTCCAAAGGCAATTTGTTAAAATAATTTCATAAAACCCTCGCGAGGAAAATGCAACGGGCCGATATTACAGACTGGCCTTACATTGATTCGCCCTGGGATCTCTTCCTTGAATGTGACAGATATAATAGCACTGTGCGCAAAAACTTTGGAGCTTGTATCATCGCCCACATGTTGGGTATAGTCTCAGCTTATATATTTCCCTTTATTGGCGCCTTTGGCTTAATCTCAAACTTCCTCGTCCTCTATGTCTTCTTTTTTGTCTACCGCAAACCCACTCGACAGATGATTTACCTGGGCAGCATTGCCGGCGCCGACATTCTGACACTCATCACATTCGGCTGGATCTGGCTATTTCCTGCCAAAGGTCTTCCCTATGCCACCCTGGCTCGAGTCTACTTCTTCATCTTTAATTTCAACGATGTGACCTGCAAGGTCTTTCGCTACGCCTACTCCTTCACAGCCAGCCTCAGTTCATCCCTTTTTCTACTGACCGCCCTCGACCGTTGTCTCAGCATCTACTTCCCCCTGCGGTTCAGCCGCATTTCCACGCGACGGGCCTGGGAAGCGGTCCTCATAATTACCCTTGTTAGCGCCCTCGCCATGCTACCGTTTGGACTGATGGTGGGGCATAGCCTATCCCAGGGAAAGATAATCTGCTGGGTGCTAGAGCAGAAGACATTTCTGCAGATTTACCATGTTCTCCTGTCAAACAGCTCCCTCCTGCAGACCCTGCTTGTCATAGGCGTCAATATCGCCCTTGTAGTTCGCCTAAGACGTGCGGTTTCTGAGCGCCGGTCCATGTCCAACTGTACCACCACAAACCGCGAGATCGCTGCCTCAATGTTGTTGGTTATGCTATCTGGCGCCACTGTCATGGCCGCCCTGCCCCAGTCCATTGCTTACGCACTGTCCAGTATCCTGGCTGAGGTGTTACACGGTGATGAGGGACTGACCATAGTTCGACTGGTTTACAACATATCTGACCTCTGTTGGCACATCCTGTTTCTGCAGCAGGCCCTCAACTGGGTGCTCTACATGAAGCGCATGAAGAACTTTCGGGAGCAGACGTTAAGGCTGCTACGCTGCCGGCGTCAAGCGAGCCGAGGATTGCATGAGGAATCCTTTAGTTCTATGCGCGTCAACACCAGGAAGCTGCGGCTGTCTGTGTTGGAATCATTCAGAGAGGAGGGAAGCAAGATAGTGCATGCTGACAGGGCGGCCGACCTGACGAAAGCGAAGCCTCCCAAGACCATCCAACCCAATGGTGTGATTAAACTGCAGAACTACACGCCTCGGGTAGGGGAACTTGCACCTGAGCAGACTTTGGCTGAGCAAAAGGAAATAACCTTTTCTACAGCATTTTAACTGGAGAGGTGTAAACGCTCCGAAATTTGTTTAAAATATTTTGGCTCTTAATATTAACAGGTGTGCTTTTACCGAATAACGTGCTGCATATATGTGCATATATGTTCTACAGGTTCCCCTTCAACATATATTGGCGAAAAAGAATATCTACTGTTTTTTTTTCGCCGCTGAGTTTGCTTTTATTTGACAAATTTAGTCTGCCACCTGGGAAATAGAACAAAATCACAATGGGGTACAAAACTAATCTAAGGTGTGCATTATCTCGGTCGTTCCTTGTACTTTTAAAGCATAAACTGATACTAGTTTCAAGAAACACACTGTGAAGAAGAGAGCGGAGATTTAACCTCCTAAAATACATTTCATGGCTCCCGGTATTGTTGCGGTTAGTTCAACTTAAGTACGAGCCAGTCGAAGTTTTACAAATGTATAAATAGCCTACGTTCGAATGTTATTGCTAGTTAAGATAGTTAACGATGTTGTTAGAACTCTTTTGAAATCATAAAGTACTTTTTCATGCATGCTTTGGAAGAAAAGCCGAAGAAAAATTGTTGTTGAACTGCTGTTCCTTTCAGAAGTATTTTTTAAGGTTTATAGCTGTTACCTAGAACCTGAAAACATTTCCCCTTTGAAATTATTTTCGGGGCATTATTGAGTCACCAAGTACGGAATTTGTAGAACAAACCACCTTGTTTACTGCTTTATAAATGTGAGGAGTTTTTTTAATTAATTTACCGAAGCATGCATTCATATTATCAACACACAAAGGTCATGTCAGTGGTACTTTTTGCAGCGTGGTGTTGTAAAAACGTGACAATTGTGTATCAGTTAATCGGAATTACAGTTCTGCGAATCCTGCAAAAAAATTTCAGGACGAGATTCAGCTTGATAATTTAGCGTATATCCGGACAGGTTATTTTGATCAACTGAGTAGATTTAATAATAAGAAGGGCTTTTT